TATTATATTTATATAGACAACAGACAGTATTATTATATTTACATAGATAACACAGTACTATTATATTTAAATAGATAACACAGTACTATTATATTTATATAAATAACACAGTACTATTATATTTATATAGACAACACACAGTACCATTATATTTATATAGACAACAGACAGTACTATTACATTTATATAGACAACACACAGTATTATTATATTTATATAGACAACACTAAGTACTATTATATTTATACAGACAACACAGTACTATTATATTTATATAGACAAACACACAGTACTATTATATTTATATAGATAACACAGTAATATTATATTTATATAAACAAACACACGGTACTATTATATTTATATATAGACAACACATAGTACTATTATATTTATATATAGACAACACATAGTACTATTATATTTATATATAGACAACACATAGTACTATTATATTTATATATACAGACAACACATAGTACTATTATATTTATATAGACAAACACACAGTACTATTATATTTATATAGACAACACACAGTACTATTATATTTATATATAGACAACACATAGTACTATTATATTTATATAGACAACACATAGTACTATTATATTTATATAGATTTAGCATGCACTACAGCACTGTATACCACTACATTAGATATCTTATATATGGATGTCATGATGACAGAATTAGCACAAGAGGTCTCCAAAACATCAAGTAGATTTCAAGAGACCCAGAAACTCGAACAGTTGTTCTTCAGGAGAATTTAAAACCCTCGAGTTCCTGGGTCTACATCCAAAAGACTGTACCGCATCATGCTTATGATCATTTATTGTACATTGAGAGAAAATGATCATAACTCTGGATGAGATACCAAAAAATAATAACATTTATCTGAATAATGTGTGCCAACTACTCTTTTACACAGTGGCTTTAAATTCTACCATGTTATCATTGCATTGTAGTATCCTATCGGCCAGCCCTCTGGTGACATAACATGTTTTAAGAGTTGTTGTTTTTTCATAATTACATTAATGTTGGTTAATTAAATTTTCAGCCACTTAAATCGCTTTGGAGTAACATTGTCTACTCGACGACAAAAAATAAAGAACCACTTTAATATAATCTGAAACAACAACAACACAATACAAAAAGTAAAAACATTTAGAGTATTCACTCACTCGAGCTTTTATAACACACCAACCACAGCTATATAAAACAAATAAGATAATTAAAACGATCTGGTTTAAACACACGAATTAGAAAGCCCTCGAGCCACCTACCAGGATTGTTTACCCACTCTTGTAGTGCTTTCTGGAGACGCCGGACGTGAAGAGGCTTGCTAGCCATCCCAACCAGGGCCATAATCTCCAGAAACTCATCTTCTCCAGCTTCACAGAGCTGTTGAACATCGTCTCCACCTGCAGTGAAAACACTGAACTAGTACTTTCTGTATTTAGTTTAAAGGTGTAATTTATTTTAGAGTATACGTACACGGAAGTTTGAAGATATTAACAGTATAACTACTGAAGAACTGCACGCGAGACGCTGTGGAAAAGTTACGTATAAAACTGTTTACTAACTCACTAGATATACAATTATACACAGTTCATTAAATATTTTACAACAATGAAAAAAAAGACAATGCCCCTATAGGATTATCTGAAGTTTTCTTTTACTTACATACGTTTATTATCCTCCGGGGAGTTATAGAAATTGTTTTGTGAAATAATTTCAGAACTTTTATACATTATGTTTATTTCAATTTATCAACTAATATAATATAAATCAATTCCTGTTTCGACGAGGTACATCGGATGTTATTTCAAATGATCAAAATCCACTGTCCCTTGCAACAGACAGGCCTTACAAGGGTATGTGACAAGGGCATCTATTTTTGTATTTTTGGAAAAAGGCCATCCTTAATTTTGAACTACTGACTACATGACACCGTCCGCGTTAAGGGATTGCCAGTCATACTTATAGCATACGCAAAGCTTAAAATGCGGGCAATATTTTCTTGTATCGCAAGAATTCAAACCCGGCTCACCTGCTCCGAAACCCAGAGCTCTACCACGAAGCTAACCAGCTCCCTTAGGATATACACTGATTTAAAGTAAAAGTAGAAACAGGTGTTAACTTTGTTTACATTGGTGTTCGACTAAACGAAAGGTGGACCTGTGTGTACACTGGAATAACTCTTGTTGTTATATGTTAATTTGTTATATGAAGCGCCAATAAATGACAACTACATTATTTGTTTAACTGAGTTTGTATTTTTGAAACAACCTTCGGCACTGACAGGAGCGCGAGTTGTCCATCAACAGTGATAACGAGAGAATAACTGACCACCAGAATACAATTGCTATAATTATGACCAGTAAGTAATCAACAGCAAAAACAAAAACAAAAAAACGAGGAATAAAAAATAGGAGAGAGCGAGATCTATTTAAAAATTCTGGTTTATTTGTTTTCTTGGCAAAGCCACAATGGCCTATCTTCTGTGTCCACCGGATATAAGTGTTATAAGTCCGAAGAATACTGAAGACCGTCATTGTCTTACAATTTACACCCACTTTTCAAAGACTTAGGAGAAACTGTTTCACAAAATTGGAAATTACATTACAGATGGTAAATGCTTGTGACGTCACCTAGAAATTAGATTTAGATGGACTCAGGAGGGAGTCGCCAAAATCATCTCAACAAGGCAAAAGGGTCCATAAACTATGGCTCATATATAAATCATATTGGAAAACAGCAGGTGTGATATCTACAAATCAGAACATAATAACAGTTCGTTACTACTTTTTTTTTTATCAAAGTGCTATTTTTTTTCTTTTTAATTACTCGATCTCAATGGTTCTCAAAGTGTGGTCCGAAAGAGTCCTCCAGGTGGTTGGAGGACTGGTCCATCAAAAGCACCGCCATTCTCCCCGTTAGTTCTAATAAGAGTTTTTTTTTTTTTTGCAGAAGCAAGCGAAAGCGGATGGGATAGGATTGGTGGGTGGTCCACGGGGTCTTTTGCCCCACTAATGTGGTCCAAAGACGAAAAAATTGGAGAACCACTGCTCTAAGTGTTTGTATTGTTCTAAATTACCGTTGTCATTATTTAAGACTTTGCCCTTTTTTTTGTTGTTGTTGTTGTGAATAACTGTATTTGTTAGAATTGGTGTGAGCAACGTGCATCAATATTTGTTTAAGTGAATACAGGTATTTTATCTACATTACTACTTCCGTTGCTACAGTACTAAGGGCTAAGACCTGTATCGTTGGCATTTATTCGGTTTTATACCTGTGTGTGTTCAGCTGACGGTTCAGTTTGTGGTATACCTCTCCGAATCTTCAATATCACACGAGTGGTAGGATGACAGTTCAGTTTGTGATATACCTCTCCGAATGTCCAATATCACACAAGTGGTAGGATTACAGTTCAGTTTATGATATACCTCTCCGAATCTTCAATATCACACGAGTGGTAGAATGACAGTTCAGTTTGTGGTATACCTCTCCGAATGTTCAATATAACACGAGTGGTAGGATTACAGTTCAGTTTGTGATATACCTCTCCGAATGTTCAATATAACACAAGTGGTAGGATGATGGTTCAGTTTATGATATACCTCTCCGAATGTTCAATATAACACAAGTGGTAGGATGATGGTTTAGTTTGTGATATACCACGTCAAAGTTACAATAAAATCGCCTCAACTCTGGATCACATCGAACACTTTGATGCTAATTCCTGTAATCTTTTTACTTATTTTGTATTTATGACAACGCTACTATTACCTGAATGAATATTTTACACTAAAACCAACGTCTCTAATTTTGAACGACTGACTACATAGAAGTGAGACGGTCAGCAGCACCCTACGACCCACCACCCACAGATTAAAGTGGGGGAAATATTTGACGGTACCCCACGGATTAGAACCCGGATCTTCAGTTCCACCGTAGATTTAAGGGCTGTCAGTTTCTCAAAGAAAAAAGCAGATGTTGCAATACACATTTCGTAATTTCTCGGTTATTATTTTTTCTGATCTTCGAAGAAACACGTACTTTCTTTAAACCAACCTCTGGATTAATATCATGCAAAACCTGTTTTTTCCATTAAATTCACAAGTTTCTTGAAAAACACACAAAAGAATCCAAATACTTATAGCCTGACTAGATGGAATTACTCTGCTTTCCCTTTAACTCAATAATTCTAGCTTACTGCTCACATCACAAAATCTAAACCTGAATTATATTTTATCTTTTTTAAGGGCAGAACTTAATTTAAGTACAAAGTTTGGAAATAATATTCACCGAAATAAAAAATCAAATTTCTAAACAAACAAACAACAATAAAAAAAAAGAGACGATGTATTTACAAAAATCCTAAATTCTAAGAACACTTATGACGTTGAGTATTTACTTGTGAGACGACGTTTCGCTTTGTTTGTTGAATTTCGCGCAAAGCTACTCGAGAGCTATCTGCATTAGCCGTCTCTAATGGAAGGAAGCTAGTCAACACCACCTACCGCCAACTCTGGGGCTACTGTCTTTTAACGAGTTGAATGCCCTAACCACCAGCCACAACGTTTCGTCCTTAGTATATGGAGTCAGAAGCGAATGTCAGAAGACCATTAAAACAGTACCAACTACTGCAAGCATATCTACTGACTGTGTTAATATTTTTGTACATGCTCGTCCTTTTAGCCGTGGGGTCGTTATAATGTGTCGATCAATCCCACTATTCGTTGGTAAAGGAGTAGCCCAAGAGTTTGCAGTGGGTGATGTGGATTAGCTGCTTTCTCTCTAGTCTTACACTGCTAAATAAGAATATTTACACCCCGTTATTCATCGGATTTCTTGTGATCATGGTTCTCCTGTTCTGAAGTTATATCATGAATTAATGGGCTTTATTTTCCCCGTTATTAATCGGATTTCTTGGTTCTCCTGTTCTGAAATTGTATCATAAATTAATGGGCTTTATTTTGTGTGCCATCATTCCAGTGGCATGGATAGCGTCACGTCTTCAGGTCATGAGCTTTCCAACAACGTGCTACTTATTATGTGGCAATATACTCTGTTTTGAAAGAACAAAAAGCTGAAGGAAAAGGTATCTAAAATGGCACCGTCTACGCTACAAGTGTCGCTATCTATTGGCAATTTACGACACCACAACATTGTTAACAAACGTTAGAGAAAAGTTTGGAATTTTCATTGAAAAAAAAAAGAACAACAAACTACGTGGTTGTTAAAATATGATTGTTAAAAACTATGTATCAACGTGTTAAGATTTACTCCAGTTTTCTAATTCCTGTGATAGAGTTTGCCCGTCTTTTTTTAAACATTACAAAAGTCAGCTACACGTTTTAAACTTAACGTTAAAATCCTTTTTACCTAAAATAAGATAACCGTTAAATAAAATATTTTTCAATTGCAGTTTTGACACTAAAGGCACTAAAAGCTTTGGTTCTGGCATTACTGACCCTCTTACACTATTTATGCTATAGAATACAGGTTAAAAAAAAGACACTAAAACTAGCCCTAAAACTGAATATCTTATACAAAACTTACACACATATATGTGCGTATGAGTTTGTACGCCCCCTTTTTTTTCTCGAGATTTCAAGGATATTTGGTATAGACGCTTTGCTTTTTATCCAGCATGTTGCCAACATTATACACATTTTATTATTATTAATCCTGTAGACTCCCGGTGGAGCATAGGGCCGCAACAACACCTCGCCAACGGAAGTTGTTGTTGCAGTTTCTTGAAGCAGGTTGTTTATTACGGGGTGGAGTTGCTAGCCCCGCACCCAACCCTCCTCCTTGACTTGGGACCAGGCAATGGCGGAAGTGAGCATGTTTGTTGTGACGGGGGATTCGAACCCGCGACCCTCAGATTGCGAGTCGAGCGCCCTAACCACCTGGCCATGCCGAGCCTAACATTATATACATACTAACACAAAACTTTCATAATGTTCCAATTTATTAGAATTACACACTGTTCCTGAAGTTTTGATACGTTTCCTACGGAATAAAATCACTGTGGTTTAAAATGTTGGAAAAAATTGGCAAATTATAGATGTACTTACTTTATCCACCATTTTTAATACGGTACAAGGTTAATTAATTAAACGTTTTAAGATTAAACGCAACACATAGTCACAAAGTATAGGAGATTGTTTTAAAAAGTTCTTCCAGATGCTTAAATACAAAGCGATGCAATGTTTCCAGACATGGTTATTTTTAGTTTGTTTGTTTGTTTATTTTTTGAATTTCGCGC